TTTTTCTCTCTTGTACAGTGTTTATATTATATTATATTATTTTTTTTTCATACTGTTCTTATACTGGCTTTATCTTATCTTAATTAAGGTAATGAAAACAATATACTTTTGTGTTTGTGCAGCTTTTCCATTGACAATATAACGCACAATTATTTCTTCTGTCTGCTGAGCTGCTCCATGATCTATGAATATTAAACGTATAAATAATAACGTATACATAAAGTTCACAGTGACAGATAATTCTGTGTATGGTGGTGAGGGCCTACCCTTATGAAGATCAATGCACTTGAGTCTCCCACTTTGTACTTCCCCTCCGACACCTTGATCATGGGAAACTGAGCTGGACAGGAACACCGGCCCAGAATCTCACGCACCTGAGGAGAATAAAAACAGAGCAGATTAACATCCACAGCAGACAAACATGACACACACATCCGAGAGGAACCCGACAGCGATCCCTTCCCGTTCTTCAGGTCAGTGCCCCCACAGGAGATCATGTTTAGTCACATTTCGGTAACCGTGGCCAAAGCGCCGCTGGTCCTGAGCGCTGTGTGTCAGCCACACAATGAATCTGTTTTATGGTGTGAGAAATGGGCATTCTTGGCTGCTTGAGTATATGAGGGTGTGTGTGCGTCATCTTCCTGCCAACTTTTCTCTCCAAAGCACCTACTGGGGGACAGAGTGCCCCGCCTTGCTCTCTTACCACATTAAAAGCCCTGCCTCATCTCATCTCTCCAGAACATTTTGGTAATTTAGTTCACCGCAAAGTGTCACAAAAGCACAAAAATACATATGTGGACATATGGCTAATGAATACTCTCCCTCTGTACGCTGTTACGTGACACTGTTTCTGGTTGTGACATCATAAACTGAGGAGAGAAAGAGCTCAGACACCAGACTGCTGGTGATGATGTCAGCAGGCCTGTGCTGCCAGCTGGGTTTTGAATCGAGAGAGTCAGAGCCGGTGCCCTTGCTGTGGTTGGGGGTGCTTATTAGGCAACTGGAGTCAGACACAACTGCAGGGTGGAGCGAGATCCGCCTGTGTTGCACAGGCCTGTGCTCTCGCAGGATTGGACAGCTTTGATGTTTTTCTTGGCGTCTCTCTCAGACAAAAGGCGTATGCGTACTTGTCGACCACGAGGGAGGGAAAGTGAAGCGGCAAAGTGGACGGAGGAAAGCACAGGAAGAAAAGAAGAATAATGGCTCCATAACTGTGCGTGCAAGGGCGGCCATTACAAAGGGGAGGAGTGTGTTTTATTGATATTTGAGCGATCAAATGATGTGTTAGAGGAAAATTTCAGGTTGTGAGCTCCCACCCTTGGGCTGTTTACAGTACCTTTTGTGCTGTATACAGGGCTGAGGGGATATGGGCTGTGTGTGTGAGTAGGTTGGCCTGTAACACCTACATTATGGTGTATTCAGAAGATTAAGGAGGCACCTTGTTATTTTCTTGAAACAGCACCCTTCTTTCCTTCCTATGCTAATTAAAGAGGGAGGAATCAGTGCTAAGCCTCCGCATCTCACCTGCCTCCCTGTTCTCCCTCTCACCTGCTTCTATTAGGGGCCCTCTTCTCTCTCATCTGCTTTGTTGTCTATCAGCCTTTATTTTTAGCCTGTGCACTAGCTGACTGGACCTATATTTGTCTTTGCTTCCTTTGTTTTGCTTACATTTCTACATCTGCTCGCTCCTTCTCTCCGCTCTGTCACTCTGTCAGTAGGTGGACAAGCCCTGTTTGGAAAAACCCCAGCCAGTGAGTTCATGGAAAGATTGCTATGGCAACAGACACACACATAGCCTTACCCTTCCCTTTTTAACTGTACAGTTTGACTTTTTTCATTCTCGCTAAAGTAAAGCCTTTCTCTCGCCCTAAAACCTCCCCCAGCGCTGTTCAGCTGAGGTCATACGTTTTCCTCCAGAGGGAAGGTGAAGGACTCGCACACTGTGTCTCATATGAAAGCTTCAGCAGCATACAACAATAAAGTGTTTTAATAATAACCTAATCAATAGCAGCCCTGACATTTGAAATATTTACTCTGTGGAGTCTTGTGTGCACTTCCCATGTCTTAGCTGTGTCAACAAAGGGCACACTCAGATACACTGAAACCAAAACTCACACGCTTTCACACACCAGAATGAGACAGAAGGGGAGGAGAGAGAGAGACAAGGTCATGCAGGAAACATGCGGAAGTGGAGCTGGAACACTGCAAGAAACTGAAGGATGAATTATGGATGCATGCTGGTCAAATGAGGGAAGCTTTTAGCAAGAGCTGCAGATGTTCGAGAGGGAAAAGAGAGAAAAACTGAACAAGCGACTGAACAATCCACAGCATGCCCCTATACTGGGAATCTGCTGAATCTATCTTAAGATAGGAATGCAGAGATGTTTTGGCTTGAAAAGAGAGAGAGAAATATTTTTATTACTAAAACAGACTTGTGTGACATTCCCTGTGAATTGAGCTGCTGGGTTTGTGCAAAACATACACAGTACATATTGCTTTAATGATCCCCCCTCCTCAGATCACGTCATATCTGTTCAGTGTGAGTCAACAACCACTCTGTGCCTTTCCTTCCTGACCTGCAAACATCTGAGGGGCCATTCACTGAGGGCTGAGCAAACCCTTGGGGTGAAGAGAGGAAATGGGAGGGGAGAGATAAAGATTCTATTCCCCATTTTCTTTACTGATCTCAAATGTATACAGTAGCTTAACATAATGGTATCTGAACACAGGAATGTACCAGGTTCCCAATGTTGTTCTACTCTATTAAGTATATTTGCTGTTGTATGATTTAAACTTACTTGTTGTTATTATATGAATACACAAATTATAGTTCTGGGTTTTCAGACTTGACATCCAAATTGCATAACTCTAAGAAGCCACTAATCCATTTGTATATTTGTTCTCCTCATGAGTCAACAAACAACATACGACCACACAGTTTACTCTTATGCATTCATCAAACATAGGTGTGCTGGCCTGCTGTAACTGGCTCCTTTATGATTGCTATGCGAAAGGATAATTACTGCCAAACTCCAACAATAAAAACTGAACATTACAACAAGTCACTCCGCAGGAATTTACACGAGGGTGTTTCCAGGAGTTGACTTAGATTGGAGGGTTTACAACAGAATACATGGTACTTTCAAAAGGTAAGAAAATTGAGAGACTGAAAAGATTATAGCACATACAGTACTTTTAAGTGAGTTTCAAACATGACAAGACTCTCCTCTTAGCTTATCTTCTTGCCCCGAGGATCTCCTGTCATGACTAGAAACTTCCCAAGATAAAACAACCATCAGATAAACACAGAGACATGAAAACTATGCCAGTACTTGGTAGGAGGGAACTTAAACTTAAGGGGTTATTGCTTCACCACCCACGATAAGCATTCCTAAAGCCTGTGAACGCACACTGAACACAGCTACATATCAGTCTATCTTCTATTAAACTACTGGCCCTGACAGCCTGTATAAACGACTCCTCTGTGGACAACCATACAACATCTCATAAACATGGAACAGCCTTCTATGCAGAAATAATCTCTTTGAACAACCGGGGGGGTGTAAAGAGGGTGACAAATGACTGAATGATTGATGATAATGTTCCAAAATGGAAAGATCATGGAAATGCATGTATTTGGAGACTGTTGCTGGTACAATACGCCAAACCAGCAGAGATGAGACAGAAAACCTGAGTTGGACAAACGCCTCAGGGTCAGGTATGTCAGTTAATGCCAATAACCTTCCACCGGGATTAAGCTTACTCACGTATTAGCTCATTATTACTGAGATATAACATGTTAATTAGTGAGTTTAAGAGGTGCTGGTAGGTGGATTTTGTTTCCTTTGGACAAAGCCAGGCTAGTTGTTTCCAGTCTTAATGCTAATCTAAACTAAGCTGCTGGGTGTAGCTTCATATTTACCGTACAGACATATTTCACAAAATGTCAAACTATTTCTTTAACTGCTCCAATGAATAATAACAACATACTTTTCTCTTTTTATCTTATAACCTGTGCTGTGTGTTTTGATCAGGGTGAATCATGTAATCATACTGGCTCCAGGCAGGCCTCATCCATTGCGTCAAGGAAACAGGTCTCTGATAATCGATGCCTATCTTCTGGCCACATGATAAACTGTTCATTGGGGAGCCAGGAGGATATAGCAATCTAATGGACATCAAGTGCTGCAAACTCTATTATTCATCTGCTTCAGTCAAACAGCAGTGTAATCACCCAGTGCAGGATATCAGGCCAGTGTCTAAGTCATTTGCCCTGTTTGTTTTGATGAGGCTCAGCATTCTGCTTGTGACAGCCGAGGTTAGAGGAACTGATTGCCTACCGATGTCCTACTAAGTCCTACTCATCCTGACAGCCTCCACCTGACACCAGCTTCAGGAAGCTCCTGGCGGTTGCAGAAAAACAACCAGACAACTCCACAGACAGGCGCCTGTGCACCCAATTAAACGATAATCATGCAAATGATCAGCTGATAGCATCAAACGCTGCATTAAAGACATAAAGTGGGCGATAAGCAAAGTGCAGAGTCAGCTGTTTCCCCAGGCAACCTGCTGCATGGAAAACAGTGGAGGAGGAGTGAGATCTGCTCTGTACTGTTACTGTGCAAACTCTAAAAGGGTAAAAAGAAAAACAACATAAGCCCCTAAAAACACGAGTGCATTTTACAAAGGAGGGAGAAACACTGAAGGATGCCATGCTCTCTCAGCAAAGCGTATGAGTGTGACCCAACGCAAAGCATGATGACCTACTTTTCTCTTTCACTCTAGCTCGCTCTCTACTGTAGCTCTCCCTCCCAGAGCAACATCCATCCCAGTCAGGTTTACCAGAGTGTACAGTAAAGTCACTCTAGGCACACTATCTGTTGTCTACTCCCCTTTTTTTTTTTATTCCCTCAATGCACAAATTGGAGCATAAGGTTAATGGAGCAGACGGCGCATATAGGCATAATACACACATTTTCTCTCTTTATTGCCCTTCCCCTTTGCTCTGCTGGTATCTCCATTCAAAGTCTTTGATTAAGATGTCAGGCTTTGATTGCCTTGCTATCAAAGGTCTATTCACAACTTCCTCTTCAATGCCACCAACAAGACATACTGTTGTGCTCTTTGCTTTATCATCTCTAGTGGTAACCGGTGTGGGGGAGGGGAATGGGAATAGGGGCTTGCACATATATGAACTAAACAAGGGCTGAATGTTGAAGCCTGGGGTGAGAAGAGACATGAACCAGTTTATACGACTGAGCAAGAAGAAGGAAAGACACGAAAGAAGGGAGGCGACAAAGGCTGTGAAGCTCCTATGGCCTGTTGTTTATAAGCTCAAATATAGTGCTGCATAGATGCTTATGCATGCAGTAAACATACGAAGAATTAGAGTGTGTATTAAGGGGTCAGTAGGTGTCATTTAAACTATTACATGTATGTCAGTTTGCATAGCTCTGTATGTTTTTACACAACTAAGCCCAGGGCCTAATTGCAAGACCTAGAAAGTATACAAAAGGGTCACTTTTTGTAGGTAGATGACGAAGATGATGTTTTCTTTACCTTAGGCTGCTTGCAGCATATAGGAAAATACAGATTCAATCAAAGTCGATGTCATAATCCCTATCTAGTGCTGATTTGAAAGAAAATCCACTAATGCAAAGGATAAACGTTACGTGGACATATAGTAAAGTGAACCAGCTGCTGTCTGTGCTACTTCTGTGAAAAAAGTCTCCAGGAGTTGGAAAAAGGAACATTTATTATTGACTCAAACTATAATGAAGAAATGAGACGCCAGTCACTTCCTCAACTTTAGAGTGGAAAGCCGTCCCACAGTGAGATGAGTAACAACAGACCGGTGGGAGACATAGTGGTGGTGAGTGTTTACATGACGGCGTGCTGTAACCAGGAAAGTAAACTGGACAGACAACAGCTTTCTGAAGATTAAATACCTATTGTATTGTTGATGTGACACATCAGGTGTTTGCATTAAGAGTCAGGAGTTTGTTGAGTCACTTTACTGTTACATAAGCCATGTGTACTCAGGAGAAGTCGTAATATTTGGTGCTACATTTTTACTGTGATTATTGAATGGCCAGATATCCTTAAAAGGACTTGCACTTAAACTGATCCTGTTGTCTGTATGCAGACTACTACACTAGTTAGAATAATGACATGTAATCCTATTATCACTACACTTGTATTGTCTTGTTGAACTCAACAAGAAGATTACTTTGATCATCCAAACGCCACACAATGTATGGAAGGATAAACAGCTGCCAAATGTACAAATCTCATTGAGAGGCACAAGAAACAAATGCCAAACTACAAAAATAATGAATAATAATAATAAGAATGATAATAAATAAATACAATCCTGTGTACTCTACTATAAATATAGACATTTCACTTTGCTGGCATACACTGTACAGCTCACATTTTCAGTTTGAGATATGGTTGGATTAGGGCGTTGTGGAGGCACATGTAATGAAAACATCCTGGGTTCAAGTGCAAACAGTATTCGAAGGTAGATGTTCCCTCCTCCCATCATCTGTTGGCTTTTGTAAAGAAAACATGAAAGCTAAATGAAAGCTTCGTAGCATTTCAGTTTGCACAAGCACAGGCTGCTGTATCTGTGGGAGTTAATGGCCTGGTAATTAATTGATGACATTTCATCAATAATGTTATTGGATATGAACAGGGAGGCAGTTGATGAATACATTTATAAATAATGTATTTTTCTAAAAAAAAAATAGCTTCAAAATGTTAAATCATTGTGAATAATAAAAAGTGAGTCTTTTTTTTTTTAAGGAGACAAACCATCCTTTGAAATAAAATCCATCTTGGAGGAGGCAGGAAAGTCGCCTCTGGCTGCCTGATTGAGGGTAACAGACACACAGTCTGCTGTCACAGCTGTGGACCAATGAAACTAAGCCCTTTAACTTTCTTTCTCTCCCTGACAGATACTCATGACCACAAGCAATGAGGTTTTCAGTAATAACGGGACACTAATCTCTTGTAAGGCCACTACATCAGTGCACACAAGTATTCTGCAGAATAAACTTGTGACTGTTGTTACGGAGGATAGAGAAGGCTGATGCCTTGCAGTAGGAACCGAGTGGGTTGCTGAATGAGAAGATATTGATCAAACTATTTCATTTCGATTGTTTCCTGGTAAATCTTCTGCAGTCCAGGAAATTGAGAGGTATTCATTGAAAATACGACTGGACCTCGAAATTAGAAACTGGCCACAAGCAGCTGAAGCCATTAGACAGGATGTGTTAATACAACTCAGCAAACCCTCAATAATACTGCACAATTTTAACATTGCGGCCTCACATCCTGTATGAAGAGCTAATGTTGCTGATGTGGGAGGTTCTGCGCAGCTTACAGGCATGCAAAATTCTAAGGTTGACAGGGGAGGGTGGGGGAGATTTTATTGACCAGACACATGACGACTGGGAATGCCACTTCCCAAATCGGTCAAAGCGAATCAAATGTGTCTGTCTGTCACTGTCCGGTGATGGATGCGTCAGTGCGGATGACAGAGAAGGAAAAGAAAAGGGACACGCTTTTTAGCTTTCCTATGATCTTTTTGTCCTGAAATGTAGACTGCTTGTATAATCCTCGGTCATATGAGAGTGTGCAGACTCAGTCTGGACACAAACAGCACACATCCTCCTCCACATGCTCTCCTATTTCTGTCTGCGGAGGTCACACCAGAACAGCTCTGCTCTGCTGCCTGACCAGCATGAGAGTGACTGTCCGCTGTCTCCCCTCCTCCCTCCGCTGTCCCTCACTTCATCGGTGCCAAAGACGGACATTGTTCGTCTCATCAACATTAAAACGTTGACTTCTCCCCCACTCACAGATCCGAGCACATGTTCCACTGGTCTGTCTGTCTGCTCATTAGCCCTAACAAGATTTTTTGCTCATGTGCGGCAGGCAGTGGCAAAGGTCAGCCAGATCAACAAGGCAAGAGTTGATGGTTTGAATTCCACAGGACAGGAAATGGCTAAAGATGACCTTTCACTAAAAATATATATATTTTAATCTCTGACAATCTCTGTAGAAGCAGCTCTGAGACAAAGCAAGAATGTGGGTGTCAAACACACATTGACCCTCCACAGGTGAGCAGGAATTTAACAGCACAGTCTCAACACATAGATGTACGCACAGCACAGGGAATCCATAAGGCGCCTGACTCCTCCATAGCACTGACATGATATTTTCAGAGAGAGTCCTTCACTTTTGACACATTTCTGCCTCTTACTATGGGACAGATTGGTTTTCTATCAGCTGCTTCATACTGCTCAGCACCAGACAAAACACACTGGGTATTTACTCCAGACCAAGGCCAGAGGGTGAGAAGCATGTGGGAAGTAGGATTTTTACCATGTTTCACAGTTATGACTAGTGATGATTAAATTGCGAGGAAATAACATTACACTAGTCTGTGATGACCTGCATGAGCATAGTAATACAGTTATGACACATCTTGGGTTTCTAATGAGTCAGCTAATGTTATTCACAGTAAATCAAGTTATTAATACATACAGTGGCCTCTGTTTTTATCTTTTTAACTCACCAACTCATCCAAATTTCGCATGTCACATAAAACTCTCTTCGGCTGCCAGATGAAGGGCTCAGGTTCAGGTTCATCCTCATCCTCCACACTGTGGCTGCTCTCCTTCCGACTGAAACACCTGCTGGGCGGACTCTGCTCAGCTGGCTCCCCTGCATCGATCCGCAGGCTCTCCTGATCCCGGATCTCCTCTTCGATCTCCTCCTCCAGCTGGATCAACATGGGGGCCAACATGCCAAACTTGGACCCACGTCGCGCCACCTCCAGAAGACACAGCACAAAATTCTTCTCGTTGCATCTCTCCACCAAGTCGTTGGTCTCAAACATGAGGACGTCCTTGATCCAGAGCTCCTGCCTGCACCAGCTGATGAAATTGGACACATTATCCCGCGCCAGGAACGAGCCAGGGACAACATTGCGTGACTGAAAGACCACATCTTTAGATGGCACCTTCATGGACTGTGCAGCCTCCGGGTACTCCAGCTGGAAGTCCTGCGCGGCTCGGTTCACGTTGTTGGCGTGCCGACAGAGGGCACAGCCCGTCCCCAGCCCATCCATGAAGGTGTCCGCAGTGATATCTAGGTCGTACAGGGTGTTCAGCCATTCAGCCAGATCCTCCTTCATGGCATACAGGTATTCCTCGCTAGATTTAAAGGGCCGGATACTCTTGGAGGCGGCGGACTGGATGTTGCTCTGATCAGCCATATTGTCGGATTCTGTAGCCTATCAATAAAGTCTACTTGATCATTCCCGATTGTCTCATTGCACAATTGCGCTCCGAAGCCTCATCCGCGTAATGTAGCGAAATAACCGCGTTGACGCACCCATGCCGGTTTGTATGTGCGGTTTCTTATCGGGGCTCCTTGATACCAGGCTTTGTGCTGTCAGAGGCATATCTGGATGCGGGGTAGCCGTGGCGCATGGATGCGTTTTCCGGATGTCTCTGCGAAACCCGTTTCCTTTAAAGAGCGCATCGCCGGGTCCCGGAGCGAGAATGAAAAGCGGCTGCAGTCCGGGACGCCGATACACACCCATGCGACGACTCCGTTAATCCAACACCCGGTGGCCGGTGGGTCCTCTCGCCCGCAAAAATCCACGTGTCACCATGTCTGTGTGTCCGCTCAGCTCCGCATCGGTGAAATCACGACCAGTGAGCAGCACTCAGAGTCCGCAGCTCATCTTCCCCGCACATAGGACCCGCCTCCCGTACTGAATATGTTGACCTGCTGTAGCTTAGACCAGCAGAGCGACTCGGTGGCACATCCCATTATGAAGGATCAACGCCCGGGCAGAGCAGGAAAAGTTAACCCCATGCTCACCAAAGTCAAGCAACAGTGACTAATTAATGTAGGCTATGCTGGGGTTTCATCTACAACAACAGCTGTCAAATACATGTAGCAGAGTGAAAAAGTACATTTCCCTTTTAGTACAACTTTAAATTTGTATTTAATTAAAATTGCCAGGCATTTAATTTAAGCTTATTTTGCTTAATTTATCTGGAAACTGGTGTATTGATTCATCTGTATGGTGTTCAGGCTGTTTATTCCACTGTGAGACAAATAGACAGCTACTTTTATAATTTTCCACTAAGGTTAACACGTACAGTAAGCGGGCTACATTGTATCTCAATAATGAAGCCTTTGTGTGGTCTCTTCACCAAACAGCCTAAGGGGATGGAGGCCAATAAAGCCTGTTTTTCAGCGTCATGAGACAGAAACTCTGCTTAGCGCAAGAAATTCCCTTCCAACTGTATGTTATCAATGGCTAAAGGATAAAATGAGGAACCTCTTGTTGAGTTAGTTAAGCTTTAACAGCCTTTGTCTAAACCTCTTGAAAGTTTTGTAACGAACGTGTGATTATTGGTTTGTACAAATCGAAAAAAATGCTACACCTGGGAGGACAGAGCTTTGTAAAGTCCTGAGACAGCAGGAGATTGGGGATTATAAAAGGAGATAGTGAGAGATGCACATTGAATGGACAGTGTTATCCACTCTTGTTAAACAGGCTGTAAACAGAGCTCAAGACAAAGTAGCCAGCACATGATCTGCTGTGTGGATGATAGATAATGTGCATTTGTCATATAGATTACTAGATAAGAGAGCTGTTGTTAGTGCGGGACAGAGGACTACTTTTTGGGGGTCCCTTAGTAAGTCAAGACAACTTTACTGTTACTTAACATTTCTCTCCTTCTTCTGCATCATCTAAAAAATACCAAGGGCCAGACACAGACACACTATTCTTGATGCTGTTAAGGGGCTGATGGCTCAAATGTGAGGTTTGAAACTTGGGTCAAACTTTGGTGCAAGAGACCTGATTTTCAGGCCACACCAGAATTGTGTTGAGGGAAACCATCTTTAAAGACAGTGTGTGTTATAATTTTATAGAAAGTACTTCTATATGTGTTCTTATTCTGAAAGTTGTTGCAGAAATCCTTATTTTCCATCTAGTTTAACTCTTAAATTAACGTGGAATTACATGTTCAAAAACTTCCAACTGGGCCTTTAAAAGAAATATTTTCCACCATCTCAGTTTCCCCTTTAACAATCTTTTAAGAAAGCGTGGGCTCTCCTCTATTGGAGCGGCGCATGTGCCCTCCTTAATGTGTGATTGTTTGAATTTAAGCGAAGGCCACTGCCAAGAAGGAGAGCTTGTTTTCATTTAAAAAAGAGGGATGTGTCTGTTTAAGAAGGAGACAGAGAAAGAGAGAAAGAAAGGAAGGGAGGGGGCGGAAGAGAGGGAGAGAGAGAGAGAAAGAGGGAGAAGGTGGGGGTTGATGAGATCATTTTCTGGGCCTGGATGAATCAGCTTTTCTGTCAGTAAAGAGAGAGAAAGAGGGAGAGAATTCACTCTATTAATCCACACGAACAACTGGCCACAGCAAATGAGAAGCACTTCAAGATGTCAGCTGACAGGGTTTCCCCGAGGGATAATTTAAGGAGGGCCTGAAGTTAAAAAAACCCACACAGACATTAACCTCGATTACGGTATTGCATCAGTAATGAGAGTGTGAGATCAGACCACATAGAAACCTGCGAGCTGTCAGAGCGGAGGTAGAATGACCTGAGAATGATGAGTCCTGGAGTTGGAAAACATATTGTGACAGGAGTTAAAACTTTGGTGCTCTGAAAGAAAGCCAGCCCCCCCCCCCCCCCCCCCCCAAACATATGTAGAAACACAGATGTGCTTACCGCCTGCATTTTTGCCACAACAAAGTGGAAATATAAGTGCTCAAGAAGCAATTTGTAAACAAACTATAACTGCTAAATAGATAATACTGAAAGGATGTAACACAGTCTCACCAAATGAGTTTGACTGCATCCTACAGGCAGGATTACCCAGTGGTAACCCAATAGGTGTATTGGAAGAAAGCATCAAAGAGCTGTAGGATGGTCTTAATAGCCATATGTTTGCCAGATGTTAGAAATAAAATGTGCCAAGGATTGACATCTGTGATTAATAACAGTGCTCAATCTAACTTGATTGCCTTATAGGGAATACCGCTCAATGAATGCAGTTAAAATGAGAAACTTTAAGGAAAAAGAGAAGAAAAACATTCACAGTATTTCTGATGTCTAGAACAACACAGGTACTTTTCTCCAGCTTAGAGTTGATGGCAGTGTAAAGAGAAATCATTGTGTATTTTGTCTAATTCTGACAATTTTAACTGTAAGCTATAACACAGTCATTAACACTGTCATTGAAGACAGAAATTAACATTTCTGCCATTTTGTTAAGAATAACTTAAATATGAAGAGTAAAACTAAATATCATTCACAAGAAAAGGCTTGTACCCTTTAGTCTTTTGTGTGAACAAAGAGACAGAGTCAATGAATGAGTCAATGTAAAGCACCAGAAACCAGGCCCAGCCAGTATCCTGAGTCACAACTGCAGCACCAGAGGTTTCAGTCTAACCTGCGCCACCTAATGGCAAGTAAAATAACAGCAGCTGCCCTTCAGATGCGCTCCAGTTACAAACAACAATCAAACAGAAGAAATATTAAACAATAGAGGTCAGCGCTGAGGCTAAGGACATTGCAGACAGTTGCAATTATTTTATTATACAAGTGCTCCTCAGGATATAGTAATAAGAATACAGAAATCATTTCTTAGGCAGCTTTGCCATAAACTTGTGGGTGGCAATCCAAAGAATGTCAGAATCATTATCTGTGGTGGAACAAGTATCCATCTGACTAAGTCATGTGACAGGGTAGTGACTGTTTTCATCTAAAAACTGGAACGCTTGTGACTGAGCAGCTCATCTACACCAGCTACAGTATCTATAAACTGTTTACAGCTTTACACTTTTTCCTGTTTTCTTTATACAAACACTGAATTGCTTCAGGAGCTTCACACTAGTTTATTTTAATCAGTTTCTCATTACTACATTAACTTGTTAAATCATTTGGTGATAACTTTAATTATTTTAATCTGTTATAACGTGCAGCTGTAATGACTATTTCCTTGAAGAACCTACCTAATACACTTCTAGCTGCACAACACAGGCAACCACTGGACAAAAACACAACCCATGTTGTGACCCCCAAATCATTCTCTGTGCTAACAACTTTCAAAGAGCATGTATTAATATATGTTATAGCTTTTCCTTTGTTCATTTTGTAATTTTCAGTAAAGCCCACAAACTCAAAAACATCAAATCAGTAAAATTTTATTTCCCAAATTTATAATAATACAATTGTCAGCTGTGGGAAAGGGGGAGGCAATTATGCTAACGAATGAAAAATGTTTTTACGATACAATGTCAAACCTATCTGCATATTTAAAAAAGCAACAAAGAAAAACGTGCACAATACAATAAGGAGCATAAACATGGGTAAACTAAAATAAAAAAAAAATGGAAATACGAGTTGAATGAAACTGCACAAGATGTTTGAAAGCAGTTCTTTTACCATCAAAATATGGAATCATAAATTAAAAATTCTCGTCTTAAAAATGAAATTCCACAAGAGGAACGGTCAGTAAATTCTTCAGTAGGGTCGTTCCCTGCGCTCCTGGCGATGGTCCCTAAAAAGAGAGCAAGAGAACAGAAGAGTACTGAGTGACAGATCTGATTATTATAAATATTGTTTGCATTTCACACCAATATCACAGGTTTACATTAATTAGCTTTTGTCAATGTAATTGTGTTCAGCAGTCTTTGAAATACTCAATGGAAACAGCGATATGACATCTTAATCCTACCTCATATCCATCTTGCCACCTGGTGGGCCCATTCCTCTTCCGCCTCGGCCACCCATTCGGTCCATGGGTGGTCCTCCACGCCCAGCCCCACGGAAACCTCCCCTATCCATTCCACCGCGTCCTCTGAATCCCCCACGGTCGCCTCCCCAGCCTCCACGGAAACCTCCAGGGCCACCTGGGCCTCCAGCTCCTGCCGGCCCACCGCGGTCCATACCTCTGCCTCCACGCATTCCCATTCCACCTCTGCCTCGGTCACCTCCGGGGGGAAATGGGGGGCCACCGCCTAACCCTTCTGGTTTGGGGGCTTTGCACTGGTTACACTCCATCCTCCAGGCAAAGTTCTGGTTGCCACAACCCCTGGGAACACAGACCAAATAAATACATCAGAAACTAATCTTTCAAACAAAAGGAGGAGTCAAAAAAAAAAAAAAAAAAAAATGATTGCACTATGAAGTAATACATACGGGTTAGGACACTCCCAGTCCCCAGCCCTCTGCTGCATGTTGCCTCCTGTGGGTCCACCTCTGCCCATACCACGTGGACCACCTCGTGGGCCGAAGCCACCACGGTCACCCCCACGGCCCATCATACCTGTTAACACAAGGAAATTACAGAACTTTAAAAATCACATGACCCAGTCTTTATATTTTTCTAGTGGTCTCCAGCAACTAAGACGCAGTTTAGTTGCAATCATCCACAGCAGGACAGCTTCAGTCTGCTACAGGGTAGTTCTGTTCTGCTTTAACATCTCAAGCAAGAGACTGAGCAGCCAGTATTTCAACATTTTAGACAACTGGTTTCTTGTGCAGTACAGTGTGAACAAGCCCTTCAATAGTACAACTCTAAAATACTGCTGACATTTACCTCCACGACCCATCATGCCATCTCGCATGGGCATGCCACCTCTCATTCCACCCATCATGGGCTTACGGCGTGCCATGGATACCTTAAGCCTTCGGCCTTGGAACTCCTTTCCTATAATTAAAAATACAACAACATTCACGTTCTATTAGTTCATCGTGTATTTATTTATGAGAGTC